GGAGATGCAAGGGGCGATGCAAATGGCAAAAACCGGGTATTGGAGGAGTTATTAGTTACATTTTTCATGGAAATATTGTGAAGAACTGATCTCCGTGATCAAATCATCTGTTAGGACCGTTATTTCTCATCTTCGAGGCTCTATCTACAGCTTGTTTGTCACTATATCGTGTACCCTCCTCTTTCGATCTCACGAAATGGTACTGATTTATCTGCTCAAAAGGTGGAAAGGCGAACGATACGACCGATGCTCGAACCGACAACGACCGAGTCCGTCGCTCTGCCGACTGAGCTACCCGTAAGGAGGATTCCACATATCCTCCTTTGCCGACTATTTCTGAGTTCGTGGCTGCCGTTTGCCTAGAATAGTTTATGATGAAATGAAACATAACCTGTGTATTTCTCTCATTTTGGTAAGCATAGAATGAGGCTTTTATGGAGAGAGGGATAAATGATATTGAAAAAGAGGTCTGATTGGTTCAATAATACTTTAATATTGCTGTGCTGAATGATATAAATATCACCCGTTTAACGTAATGAACGAAGCTGAAATTGCAGGCATCATAAACATTACAACGCGTGATTTGCATAGGATTTAGGTCGGGTCTACGAAAGAAATGCTTCAGTCGAAAATGTCCTATATTTGAGAGCCTATGACAGGTTTGTTGTATTTTTTGCTGTTTTTTCTGAACAAAATGGCTTTAAAAACCAGGCATTGCTGAGGGGTAATGACGAACAGAAACTCAAGTGGCTGCTGACATCCGCTGTCCGAGTCTGTGGTTATACGGAACATAGAAGTTCGCCTGGCGATCGTCGGAATCCTGATGCTTACGGCTCCCTAGCTAAAGACAGCTTGATTTAAAGTACTTATAGATCTTCGTCAGTTTTGCTAAACCAAGAAGTTATGTCGACGAACCTAGCTATTTAAGCTCTTCCTCTGTATTATTTCTACAGTACCTAGCAGCGTATACCTCCATAGCTGGGTAGAAATGTCATTCGTGAGTGATGGCTAGATCGGGCGTAGAACTGCATTAATTAACTTGTTTAAAATTTTATTATCAG